GAGAGAGAGAGAGAGAGAGAGAGAGAGAGAGAGAGAGAGAGAGAGAGAGAGAGAGAGAGAGAGAGAGAGAGAGACAGACAGACAGACACACACACACAGATATATATAGAGAGAGAGAGAGAGAATATATGTATATATATACACACACACACAGATATATATATAGAGAGAGAGAGAGAGAATATATATATATATATATATATAGAGAGAGAGAGAGAGAGAGAGAGAGAGAGAGAGTTAGCTGAGAATGAACTTGGTGGCCATAGCGGCAAGTGTGTGCATTCATGACACGTGTTGTGTAAGACTTGAACTTCGAGCAATCTCAAAAGCATTCTCATCTTGTGTCAGTGTGCTCTCTTGTGTGCAAGGTTTAGATGTGATGAAGGGTGTGAAGAAGTGTGTGAACTGTGGGATCATTGCACCAGCTACGATTGCCTCCTAATGAGTCCCAGACCCAGCCCATGTGGCTGAATGGTATGCCCATGAACTGTTGATGAACAGACCTAAGTTCAAATCCAGACGGTACCAGATGAGTACAATAAGGGGGGAAGGGGGGGGAGGATAAACAGACCTAAGTTAAAATCCAGACGGTACCAGATGAGTACAATAGGGGGGGAGGGGGGGGGAAGAACAAAGAGTCCTAACTGCTTGTGTAGTCTATGGAGTTATCAAGCACTAGCACTCACTTAATGAAATAATAAATGCAATCAGAAAATTCAAAACTGAACTTAGGTTATCCATGGCACCTCACTGAAACCACTCCACCCACTTCTCATCGGTGTTTCCATCACCCGCCCACCCACACACACACACACATCCTCTTCCTTTCTCCCTGCCTCCAGAGTCCAGGCAAGAATGTGGGAAAAACTTTGGAGAAAGTCAAGAAGAGGAAAAAATGAAAAAGGAACTGTAGAGGTGGCTGCTCTTACCACCCCCCTCTAGTAGAGCTCGGTGGCTTTAGTCTTAAAAAAAAAAAAAAAAAAAAAAAAGGAAGGAAATAATATACTCAGGTTTTTAACTAAATAGTCAGAGTGCACAGAGTGTGTTTTTTATTTTCTGTACTTGGCAGTTCGCCACAGGAGAAAAACAATTGAAGTTGCTCTCTGTTTTGTCAGACTGCAGCAGTAGCCGCAGCAGGGATGACACGCGTAAATCGAGAAACGGTCCAAAAAAAAATTAAAAAAAAATAAAAAAATCATATGTGTTCCTAACCATAGTTAATTGCGAGCTTTTTTTTTTTTTTTTTTTTTCCAAAAAACTCTGCGACGCTAGGAGGTAACAGTTTATCAGAACTTTGTCCAAACCGTATCGAAAATTAAAAAATATATATATACCGGGCAGCTCTGTTTGACTATATATACCACGACTTGGCTAGCACCCTGCTACGGTATTCTCCGGTCAGGTCGAGCGGCAGTGGTCGGGGTCGTCACTACGCGGCCATGCTGTGCCTCTCGTGCCAGCGGCGTGTCTGGAGTGTATTTTTTGGCTGTGACAGACCTTTCTTTGTTTCGTGGGTGTTTTGCTTGCTTGTGATGGGGTGTGAACCGACAGTCTGTAGAGTTTTCCATCTGGTGTGGGTGAGTGATAGTCTGCTTTGACTTTTGCCACAGGTACCTTGAGGGCAGTGGTTGGTGCCCACCTCAGGGTATCAGTTGCCCGGCGGTCGTTGATGCTTAACCACAGGCGGGTTTAAGGTGGATTATCACTTAGTGTAATCGGTTAGGGGATTCTGCAGACTGTTGAGGGTTCAGCCTACTGATGAGTCGGTGAAACTCCGACGAAACAGTTTGCCACAGCCCCTCGTTTGTTGTCCTGTTCTCCCTCTCTGCCTATGGTTTACCGGGCAGCTCTGTTTGAATATATATAGATTATCATTTACAGTGTAATCAGTGAGGGGATTCTGCAGACTGTTGAGGGTTCAGCCTCCTGATGAGTCGGTGAAACTCCGACGAAACAGTTTGCCACAGCCCCTCGTTTGGTGTCCTCTTCTCTCTCTCTGCCTACGGTTTACCGGGCAGTTCTGTTTGTGAAATATATTCAAAGAAGAATGAGAAATTTAATGGTTTCAATCTGCCCTTGTTTTTTCTTTTTGTTTTTATTTTTGCATGTTATCACTGTGCCCGTTTTTTTCTTTTATTCTTTGTTCCGCAAAGTGCGCTCTTTTAGTTTGTAGTGATGTGACAATATATTTGACGATATATATATATATATATATCGTCACAAACAGAACTGCCCGGTAAACCGTAGGCAGAGAGAGAGAAGAGGACAATATATATATATATAACGAAACAGTTTGTCACAGCCCCTCGTTTGTTGTCCTCTTCTCTCTCTCTGCCTACGGTTTTACCGGGCAGTTCTGTTTGTGACGATATATAGGCCTAAGGTTTACCGGGCAGTTCTGTTTGTGACGATATATGCTACGACTTCGCTAGCAGGAACGCT